TTTTTTTCTGTCATGGGGCTGGGCACTGTCCCTCAGCTCTTCAGCTCAAGGCAAGCACTCTACCATTTGAGCCACAACGCCACTTCCAGTTTTCTGGTGGTTTATTGGAGATGAGTCTCAAGACTTTCCTGCCTGGGCTGGCTTTGCAATGCAATCCTCAGATCTCAGCCTCCTGAGTAGCTAGGATTACAGGCGTGAGCTACCAGTGCCCGGCTGTTTTCCAGTTCTTAAAAAATTGTATTTTATGCTATTCTAAAGAGGGCAATGTAATTAATTGATGGGGAAGAATGGAAACAAAAAGAGGGGAAAGAATTCTATAATGCTAGCCTGGAGAGGATGGTAATAGCTTTTCTGTTCCCTGCAGAGAACTAAGGATGTGCAAGGAGGCAGGAATGCTCTGCGCATCTGTGAGCTCACCATCATGCATACTGTGGCTCTGCGCATCTGTGAGCTCACCATCATGCATACTGTGGCTCTGCGCATCTGTGAGCTCACCATCGTGCATACTGTGGCTCTGCGCATCTGTGAGCTCACCATCGTGCATACTGTGGCTCGCCTGTCACCAAGGCATGTTTGCTTGACTCACTCTGCTCAACTGCCTCTTTGGCACCTTTTTCTTCCATTTCATCTTCACTTAATACCTTTTACCTTAAATTCACTTAGAGCAATTTTACTGTTTTATGTGGTACCAATCAGGTAAGTGTTACAACAGACATTTATTATTTGTGATGAGAACATTCGAAGTCCTTTCTACTATCTTTGTCAGCTGTAGCTATTCTAGTGTGTTAGAAAGTTATTTCCCAGTACTTACTAACCATTGTCTTAATTCTGTCCCCAACTGTTCACCACAAGAATCTTAACACTGGTGTGGTGCAAAATATCATTTCATGGTTATCAGCCAATAATGGAAAGCACCATTTGTAAAAGTAGTAGCTCAGATACAGCAGCCTCACAAATAAATCAGTGCCATTTTTTTACAAGACATAGTTAATGCTAGCTAGATGGTTATATTTAACTTAAGTTTCTGTTAAAAGCTCAATCCCAGTAATGGTATAAACACTGGAAATTATTGAAAACATCCACAGTATTACAAAATATAATTTCTTTACTGGATGCTAATCTGTGATTTAAAAAAATACCTGAATGTTGTTCCATAACATTAATAATCTTATTTAATCAATGCAGCAATTAGCCTAGATTTTTCTTTAAAAAAACCTTATACTCCCGTGTATGATCATGTACAATATCAAGATTTTGCATGCTTTGCCTATGTACAAGTGAGGAACACCACCATCTGCACAGGGAGGGAACACTTCACTTTACAGATGAGTGTTGAAACTCAGACAGCTTAAAGGACTGTAGCCAGGTCAGAGGTGGGAAACAGTTCCCAGCTAAATTGGAGCTATTACAAGCATAAATAGGGAGCAGCTTGCTGCCCTGTGTGCTTTCTAGCTAGTTTTGGCTGATGGCACACCCTTCTGCACAGAAGCAAATTTTGCCTTGCTGAGTGACACACAAAATCTTCCCTAATTATTTGCAATCCTAATTAGCAGTTTTAAGTGTCTAAGAGACAATGATATTCTAGAAGGGTACAGGATTTGGAATGTGACAGGCAGGGTTCTTGTGTCTTCTAGGCAAATCATGCACAGAAAAGTCGGGGAAGGAACAACAAAGAAGAGGATACACACCAAGAATTGGGAATTCTATTTCTGGAAAGGCAGTGTGAGACCCATTCACCTGATCTTCAGAACCACTGAAACTGGTGGGGGAAAAATACTTGGCAACACTTCTCAGGGGTAAGCTGCCAACACTTCGTACTCCCATCTCTCTGTTGCAGAGGGTAACTTCCAAACTAGAGGCTAGGGTCTCCCTTCCTTCATCAGGCCTTTGAGTAGAAACTACAAGGGGCTTAAAACACTAGAGGCTTGCTTGCTCTTGCCCTAGTTTGCTTAGAGTAGAATTCCATGTCAGCAGCGATGAGATTAAGAGGCTTTTGTCTTTACCCCATTATGAGGCATGAGTCTGAAAAATGTGGGCCTTGATGCCTACCCACAATTCTGGAGAAGTGGCTTAGATTTTTGCCTAGGGACAAGCCATGGTTCCCAAGAATAGGTAACTAATGTAGAAGTTCAATTCTAAGGTTGCTCTTGAAAACAATGAGGTTTTTGGTAGTAAGAAATAAAATGGAAGCTGTTATCTCCCTGAGAACATGTTTGACCACAAACCAGATAGCTAGGAAGAAGCAGATAAAGAATCCTCCCAGGATTAGAGTAAACCTCAACGATTGAGCTCAAAAAATAGCTCTGTACTTTCAGAGCAATGAAAATGCTCTGTATAATACATTATATATCTGTCTAAACTTTTACTTTTAAAATGTACACAAAAAGGACATTTGTAAATTAAGAACTTTGTGTGATAGAATCTTAACGCAGATTTGTTGATTACAACTTGTCTCTTGGAGGGTGTGTGTGGTAGAAGAGGGGATTATGGTAACAGGGAGGTTCTGCATAGGTGAAGCATTATGGCAAATCTCTGTACCTTTCTCAATTCTGAACTTAAAATTTATTTTCTTTTTTAAAAAAGATGTAAAACAACAGAAACAACCAAACCTTGCATTGGGACCTAAGATTAAATTATCAGGCTATGAAGCAATGTTTGGACCATGAATAATGTATTGTGGTGTATATGGTGGTCCTTCAAAGGTAGTCCTAGGCATATAGTCAAGGGACATGAATACAGTAAGCAGGAATGAAGTATTGATATAGCTATCATATGCAAGCTAAGTGTTATGGATGAATGTTATGTCCACCACAGGCTCATGAGTTGAAGAACTGGTCCCCCCAGCTAGTAGCACTACTGGAGTTGACTGGATCATGAGAGTGCTAACTTCATTAATGGATTAACACAACGATGAATTCATAGTTAGTATTAAGGAGATGGGCCTCATTGGAGAATACGGGTCACTGTAGATAGGTCCTTGAGTTATCTTATCCCCCTTCCCTTTTGTCTTCTGCAAAGCCACATGCTTCCTATCATATAATCTTGCCATTATGTCATGATGTTCAACCTCATTATAGGCCATGACAATCTAATCAGCTAACCTCAAACTGAAACCTCTGAATCTAAAATAAATCTCTCCGATATTTGTCACAGGAGCTGGGGGTGGTGGTGGTGGTGAGATTTCATTGATAGAAAATGTTCCTAAAAAGCCGGGTACCAGTGGCTCATGCCTGTAATCTTAGTTACTCAGGAGGCTGAGATCTGAGGCTCGATGTTCAAAGCCAGCCCAGGCAGGAAAATCTGAGACTCTTATCTCCAGTAAACCACCAGAAAACTGGAAGTGGCGCTGTAGCTCAAGTGGTAGAATACGTGCCTTGAGCTGAAGAGCTGAGGGACAGCACCCAGGCCCAGAGTTCAAGCCCCATGACCAACAACAACAACAACAAAAATGTTGCTAATAGACACAGAACTAGAAAAATTAGTTGACTAGTAGTTGCTCAGGGTATCTGGGGGGATATTATAGTAAAATTGATTGTGGTGATGGTGCATACCAATGTAAATAAGTATCTCAAACCACTGAACTGTCCACCTTACATGAGTAAGTTATGTGGTTTCTCGATTATATATCAATTAAAACTATTACCTAAAAATATACACCTCACTAAACTCAGACATACTCAGTCCATTTGGACTGCTGTAACAAAATATATGTCTACAGAGTGGGAAATGCAGCAAAAAGCTTTACATATGATGTCTGGTGTGGTGCCACTTCCTATACAGACAACAGATGGTTGTCTTCTTGCTATATTCCCATATAGTGGAAAGACTGAGGGAGCCCTTCTGGATCCTGCGTTGCTCATCTATTTATTAAATTTTATCTTGCTGGGGATAAAAACCAAGGGCCTTGCATAAGCTAGGCAAGAGGCTAACTACTGAGCTATAGCCCTTGGTTTTCTCTTATAATGTTATCACTATTCACCAAGGCTCCATCTTCACAATCTAATCACCTTCCAGAGGCCCCAAATACTGAAAAACTAGTTGAGTATGAATTTGAGGGGAGAAACAAGTGTTCAGTCTGCAGCACATACTAACAAGAAGCAAGTGTGCGTATTCACAGAGATGTGTTCTTCTGACTTGTATACTCTGCTGTTTGTTTGCACAGTTTTAACATAATTACTACCAGAGAACTGAAAAACTCAAAATACTAAGTAGTTAAGGTGCAGCAACTCTATTACTTCAAAATAAAGAGGATACTTGGATGGTTTACTACTAAAAAAATAACTTGGGGACAGGTGACTTGAATTTATAACTATTTTGGCTTTTTGGCAGTTTATATCATTATATAATAGGCTCCTAATGTCTGTGTGTGATACTACATAAAGTATTTTTAAAGTTCTCTAAGAGAAGAGAAATAAATGTACTAAGAGGAATGAATTAGGACTAAAACATATTAGTTCAGGTTATATCTAGCCACTAAATCAACTTCAGCATCAAAATCAAAACAGCATGAACAAAGCTTTTGGTTTTTAAAACTCTTCATATTTCCAGATTGCAGGTAAGGGGTGACGGTAGATCATTTAAGTTCTAGTTCCAGCACTGCTATATCATAAAGCTAATGCATTATTCAGGATAAAAACTGACATGTGATAAATGTACTTAGTAACTGTAAAGCATGAAGCAAATGCAGTTTCCAATTATCTGTTTCTTTAAAAGAGCAAGTCTTGTAAATATTTAGTATTTTATTTTAAGAACAGAAAACATTTGCTGGGTGCTTGGTGCTGATGTTTGTAATCCTAGCTACTCATGAGGCTGAGTAATGTCAATCTGAAGATTACAGTTGAAAGCCAGATATGACAGGAAAGTCCATGAGATTTTTCTCTCTAACCAGCAAAAAGCTGGAAGTAGAGGTATGGCTCAAATTGGTAGTGTTCCAACCCTGAGAGAAAAAGCCAAACGAGAGCATGAGTTCTCAAGTTCAAGCCCCAGTACTGGGACAGAAAGAATAGAAATATTAAAATGTTTTTTGAGTATTGCCATACAATAAAAAACACAAAGTGTAAAACTCCTCTGTCCACCTCTTGTCCAAGGCCTAAAGAGCAGCAATCCAGCTATAGTCAACTTTCCTGAACTTCCTCAGCTCTTTCTCTTCAGATTTGGACAACTGATGTACAACGTCTTCTAAATCTGTGATGTTTGTATCTTGAACTTGCTCAGTAAAATGAGTTTCTTCATCGGAATCATCACTTCCTTTTTCTTCTTCCATATCTACATCATCAGGAACTTCTTCACCACTTTAACAGGAATGAAAGAAAACATGAAAAAAACCTTGGGTTATTATAAAAGAGCAGGTGATTTTATAAATTCCATACTATCTGTGCACACAAGAACATCTCTTGTCTAGTATTTGAAAATCATTTTACTTGACAATATTCTGTGCCCTTAAAATTTAAAACTCACATAAATATACAGTAGAAAAATATTGTAATAAAGGACAAAACAAACACTGTTCCTTCAAACAAAAACGTATTTCAAGAACCATTTTACCTCTTAGTCTCTGTAGATAGCAATAATGAATTCACAAACAGGGAACATAGGAAAGAGGCAGACGGTAGTACATGGGCTGGAGTGTGAAGAAGCTAGAATAAAAGCAGAAAAACTGGGTTTCACTTACAAAGGTTAGCTGCTGGCATGAGGTCTTTAGACCAAGAATAAAACACAAGTTTTACCTAGAGAAAAATCAAACCTAAAGAGAAAAGTCTTTCCATTATCCTACATTTCTGTCAACAGCCCACTCTAAGTTCAAATGATCCCATATCATAAAGTTATGTGATATTTACATTGGGTATTAATGTAGTATAATGTACAAATGACTATATAAAAATTAGATGGGATAGACTGATTGTATAAAAACTCCAAATTGCCAGGAACTCATGGCTCAAACCTGTAATCCTAGCAACTCAGGAGTCTGAGACCTGAGGCCAGCCTGGGACCTGAGGCCAGCCTGGGCAGGAAAGGCTGTGAGACTTACCACTAATTTACCACCAGAAAACCAGAAGTGGTACTGTGGGCTCAAAGTGGTAAGAGTGCTAGCCTTGAGCAAAAAGAGCTCAGAGACCATACTCAGGACTTGAGTTAAAGCCCCATGACCGAACAAGAATAACAGTAAAACCCTCCAAATTATCTGTTCCATAATTTGCTTTCTACTTACCTCATTAATTGCAGGTATATTCTCAGCTAAGGGTAACTGTACCAACTCATTCTCTGAAGTTTCCTTTAATTTTTCATCCTGCCGTTGCCTGTGTTTTCCCAATATAAAATAAAATGGGGTCGTTGGAAGACTTTCTTCTGCTAACAACTGTAATGATTAAGACAAAATGAAATTGTATCAGCAAGGAGGAGGAGCTCTTTTGACTGAGCAATAAGCACTATTGAATCATAAAATATCGAGCATAGAATGTGAAATTATTTAGAATGATTCTCTCATTTTATAGGTAAAGCAACAGAGTCCTAGCATCTCACTTTCCATGGAAAAGCTATCAGACACTTAGGTGAATTAAATAAATACATATTTACAGCAAGAGGGCTTTCAAAAGGGGGAAAGGCTATAATAGTGACAAGTTAGAAGTGTGAAGCAGACTCAAGATGGCATTTTAGTAAAGCTAATAAAGTAAAAGGCTAAGCTAGCTTTAGGAAAGGCATATTCCAACCCACAAACAGAATCTAAGAAATGCTGAGCAACTGATACTATCTCTGTAGATGAGGATGAAAGTTGGGCTGAAAAACCAGATGAAGATGGAAATTTTATTTAAGAAGTTCTATGATTCTTCCATCTCCTGCTCAGCCCCAGCAGAAGGCTCAAAGTACATTCTTTGGAGAACAGGAGAAAAGTATACCTATAGATGGGAGTAGGTAGGTAGTGATATTTTCACAGGTCAAGGCAGTGAAAAGGATTCTCAGAATGGAACAAATACTGGAATACTGGAAGTCAGGTCTAATTTTTCAAACAAGAACTTAAGGGAAGATGATGTAGAGTAATAACGTGACATTGGACATGTTTCATAATGAAACAGCTGAGCCACATACAGGATAGGTTCCAAACAGAATTTCTAAACTGTTTTTTTTTTTTTCTAACCTACCTAAACAGACCCACACTCTATATGCATGTAGCCAATGTTGGCTTTGAACTCTTGATCCTCCTGCCTCAGCCTCTATAGAGTCTGAGATTAAAGACATGCAACACCACACCTGGTTTATTCTTATCATCTTCAAAAGTACTATGTATTTTGCTTATTGCTTGTTACTGTCTGTATCTTCCTATAAACACCAGAAATTTAGAGACCTATTTTGCTTACATAGCTCTACAAAGTCCCTGACATATAGCAAGTAACTGTAAAAAAAATTCTTGAATAAATGCAGCAAATTTTCAAAGTAACACAATTCAAAGATAAAAGATAAAGATTAAGAGGGTATTAGATTTCTAGTAAACCTAGAAGCTATAAGGTGACCAAACAATACTTTCAAAGTACTGGAAGTGATTTTCAATTATAACTTTATCTTCAACCAATTGATCAAGTAGGATAGAATACAAATACTTTCAAATATGGACAGTCTTAAATATCTCATTCATATACCAGTAAAGAAAAGAGAAAGCAAAAAGAACTATGGTATCACAGCACATGTAAAACAGATCCCAAGAATGTGAATGAATGTGAATCCTCAATAACTACTGTGGAGATTTAATCATTTCAATCCGGAATGAAGTCAGTCCAGGTTTTCAGAAATATATCTTTATAACTAAAAAAAATACCTAATGTATCTGAAATTATTGAGAAGACTTACTAACATGACCAATTAAAAAGTACCTATAATAAAAAAATAGGGATATATGTGTATATATACATGCATACACATATATGTACATATACATGTATATGTGTATATGGGGAGCTGCAGTGTGAAAATGAAACCTCACCTTAAATAGATAATAATAGACAATATATCTGAACAATCCAGAATCAGTAACAGAACTGTTTATTAGTTATATGTATCTAATTAAGAGTGATATTCTTTGTGGCTAATGGTAGTAGTGTAGAGAAGTTTTGCCAAGAGGCTCAGAGTGCTGTAACTGCCCTTTGTATCAATGTAGGATTAGAGCCAGAACTCTGCAGATGCTAAACCCAAAGCTGCTCAAAGCCTGTATTAATAAAACCTAGGCATATACTCCGATACTTTCAGTATGGTTTTTTTTCCCCCTGTTGAATATTTTCCATCTACAAATGGTTGGAACCCATGAATATGGAGGGCAAACTATACTGGAATCTTCAAACTGCAAATATATGTTCCTGATATTATAAATTTGTAAAGAGCACTATACCTTCAAGAAAGGTGTACCATGTTTTGAAATTCCAACAGGACAAGATGAAATATTCTCATAGCCAAACTTTAAAAAAGTAACAATCTTTTTAGGAAAATACTGCAGTCAACACTATGCTGGTATGTGGGCTGACATCAGCTCCCATGTGCAAGACACGCACGCTACAACCTCACTGATGCTTCCAGCTTGCACTGTGAATGGCTGAACCATACCTGTTTGCTTGTTGGTGTGAGCTTCTCTTCTGGAGATTGTGTGCTGAATGTCAATAAACTCTGAAAAGAAAGATCAAATAATGATACAAAGAATAATACAAAGTATAAACCTAAACAAGATAAATCAAGGCACTAAAAAGAAGTTAAATTTTTAATTTAATTCTGACACATACATCAGCTGCAGAAAATAAAAGTTTAAAATTTATTTCATAGCCAATGTAAAATTTCCAAGATTAAGTGCTATTTAAGAATTGGTAATGACATAATACTCAACTGATAGCTCAAACTCAAGTGATAATTTTATCCAACAGCAAAAAAAAACCCTGCTAGAATTAAATTTCTTTTGGCTGTCTAATTACATGTTCAAAGAAGTCACGTTTCTTTATTTTTGCTGGTCCCAGGGCTTGAACTCAGGACCTATGAACTGTCCGTGAGCCTCTTTTTGCTCAAGACTGGCACTTTAACCACTTGAGTCAAATTGCTACTTCTGGCTTTTTCTGAGTAGTTTATTGGAGATAAGAGTCTCATTGACTTTCTTGCCTGGGCTAGCTTTTTTTTTTTTTTTTTGTTAGTTGTGGGGCTTGAACTCTGGGCCTAGGAGCTGTCCCCCTGTGCTCTTCAGCTGAAGGCGAGCACTCTACGGCTTGAGCCACAGCGCCACTTCCCTGGGCTAGCTTTGAACCATGATCCTCAGTCTCAGCCTCCTGGGTAGCTAGGATCATAGACATGAGCCACTGGCGCCTGGTGAGGTCACTGTTTTTGAGGGGAGAAATTACCTGTGATTTTGTTAGGAAGTAAAACTGGGATCTATTCAGCCACTGGTAAGCTTCTGAGGTAAATGATTCAGGGACGTCTCGTGGAACAAACACTCCCCACTGAACTTCCTCTCTGGAGATACTCTTTTGGATATACAATGGCCTTGGTTCACTAGGTTTAAATACAAACACTAGAAGGGGAATAAAAAAGATAATGACATTTTGCTTGCAAAGCTTAGTCTTGGACTGACACTAGCAGACCACACTAAACCTGAGACTCCCCCTACTGAGAATACATATAGCCTAGGTCAGGACTGTTTCAAGTTTTGATTTAATGACTATTTACTGAGTGTCTACTGTATGCCAAGCAGGTTAGTAATGAGGACTATGAGCCTCAAAAAGAGAAAGATTACTGTTTCAGAGACCAGGGCTACTGGAAAAGATAGTTCACACAGACAGACAGACAGACAGACACACACACACACACACTTTATGTTGGAACAAGAAAACAGGACCTCAGGCAAAATGGTTTCAATGAATATATGGTTCATATTAAAGGTACTAAAACATTTATATAGAATTTTTTTTTTTTTTACTGTCAATGTAGAGGTTGCACTTACAATCTGAACCCACTGAAGACCGAGAAATTGCAGCAATATTCTCTGAATTAGGATCAGGTTCCATCACTCTAACATTTAATTTTGCACTCCATTCCACTGTGGGGAGAAAAGGCAATTCACTTCAGAGAAGAGATTTACCAAGAGCTTTTTAAAGATTTACAGTAGGTAAAGTGATATTCTTGAACTATTCTTGTTCTTTACTGGAATCAATCTATGTAGTTGGTCCACGTAGAACACAAGGACTTTGTGGGGGGCTTCACTGAAGTGAGGCAAAAAACAAAACAAACAAAAAAGAAACTGTGTTATTTCTTTTATAGTATTAAAAAGTTAACTTCAAATTTATGTCCAATGCTTCTACTAACTGTAAGTGAAATAATTAGTCACCACAGAGAAGGAAGCACACATTCATTCTGAATAATCACTCCTCCCTATGCTCCAATGAGCAAAGTGTCATAAAACTCCTATTTGTTACAACTGAGGTAGAACACATTCAAATTCTATGTGGTATGGTATCCAGCATAAATTAGAAGTATTCCTCAAAACTTTTATGAGGATGAAGAATATGGAGGATAACAGAAAGCCTTACACCTGATCACAGTGGGAAAATGTAGATATGGATACAACTGTTGGTCAATTTGTTGGTTTTCAAGTAATCTATAATAGACTTAGCACTCCCAAATTTTGGTGGTACAAAATGTCATGTGAAAAATTAACTATTGTCTGGGTGGAAACATAAGGATGTGACCTGACCTATGATTCCTAAAATGTCAAAGTTTAATGGCAATTTTCTCCAGATGCTTTACCAAGTCACTTTAGGGTACAAAATACCTTACATGTGCAAGTGAGCAGATTCCAACAGCAAAGAATGCCACCTTCAGTAGCTCCAAGAAGATACTTTGAACAAGTCAATCTCCCAAAGCAAAGGTACCTAGGTTATAGACAACAATCACTTTAGGAAGTTAGAAACAGGTGGTTCTATCACATTTAGTAGCAAGGACTTCAGATTTCCAGCCACTGTTAGTTTTATGCAACACAAAGTTTTCTGTTTGTTTCTATCTGAAAGACTCTATGGAATATGAAGAGATTTACTTTTAAGTATTTTCTTTCCTTTAAAACAAAAATTTGAGCTGAGTGCCAGTGGCTCACGCCTGTTATCCTAGCTACTCAGAGGGGGGAAAAAAAAAAAAACCTGACAGCAATGACTTATTTGCTAATATATTATACAATGTAACAATCAATGTTGCTTCTTAGGAAACAATGATGAGTATGACCAATTTTAAAGGGATACATAGAAGATGAACAACTCAGAATCCTCTTAGTTTGTGTAACTCCTATTATTATATAGCATAACCATGAAAGCATTTATTACAAAGAAAAGAGCTAAAAGAATTAAATGTGAATCTTAATTTCAGAAATGTTGACACATAGTTCTGATAGTTAGAATTTTCAGCCTTCCAGTACTTTGGATAGCTGTTTGCACCATGTTGGGCTATCTATAACAAGCAAAGCAATTATTGAAGTTTAAAAAACTGAAAAACATTTTTAAAGAAGTATTACTGCTGGGCACTAGTGCTTGCAATTCTAGCTACTTAGGAGGCTAAGATCTGAGAATCACAGTTAGAAGCCAGCCCAGGGAGGAAAGATTGTTTCTTATCTCCAATAAACTACCACAAAATCTGGAAATGGAGCTGTGGCTCAAGTGGCAGAGCACTAGCCTTGAACAAAACTAAGCTCAAGGACAGTGCTCAGGCCCTGAGTTCAAGCCCTGGGACCAGCTTAGACATAGACACACACTACTACTACTATTACTACTACTCCAATAATTTACCTACCTTATTTTCCCAGCTCGTTGGCAAAATGTACACTTAAGTTCCCATGTTTCTGAATCCCATATTGTAACTATTTCCTCGAAGCTAACTGCTAGTAAAGAGCTATCTTCAGAGAAACAACAGTTAGTTGCTTGATACTTGTGATAGCTACCCACAAAGTCACAGGTCCAGCCGACAGCTTTCTCTGAAAATACAAGCCGTAACATTTAAATTGGCATAAGCACTAGATATCAGAGATGTTATATAAAATAAGGGCTAAGATACAAAGACACATAAAAAAGAAGCCTTTTCCCACACTTCTTTTAAAGTAGAGAGTTGCAAAGAATTGAAATTTATACCTTCCCTGAAGACCTTGATCTCCCTCTAGTGGAGCTTTATAAAAAGGCCAAATGGCCAAAGTCTGCCTTCTTACTTCCCATTTATTTGTTTATTTATTGCCAGTACTGGGGATTGAGTTTGATGTCTCACATTTGTTCTTGGCACTCTCATGCTTTTTTTGCTGACATTTTATCATTTAAGTTATATCCCATCCCAGATTTTAGATGGTTATGATACATTTACATATATACATATATATATATGTATATATATATGTACATATATATATATGTACATATATATGGCTTGAAATCAAGGCCTTGTGCTCTTGCTTATTAGCTTTCTTGCTCAAAGCTGGTACTCTACCACTTGAGCCACATGCCATACCTCCACTTCAGGCATTTTGCTGAAGAGGAAAGAATTTCTTGGATTTGTCTGCCAAGCTGGCTTCAAAATTATCTTCCATATCTCAGTATCATGAGTAGATAGGATTTCAGTCGTGGACCACCAGTTCCAGGCTGCCAAAACCCTTTCTAAAAAAGCTCATAAATAATTAGCACATGATTAATCACATGCTTAATTACTATTCCCAAACACAAGTAAAAAAATGTAATCTTTTAGGTTTAAGAAATAGCTTATAGGGCTGGGAAGGTGGCTCAGTGATAAGAGTGCTTGCCTGGCGTGCATGAGGCCCAGGGTTCAATTCCTCAGCACCACGTAAGCTGAAAAAAGCCGGAAGTGGTGCTGTGGCTCAAGTGGTAGAACACTAGCCTTGAGATGAAGAGCTGAGGGACAGCGCCCAGACCCAGAGATCAGGCTCTACAACCAATAAGAAAAAAAAAAAAAAGGAAAGAAATAGCTTATAGAGAATTCAAGGAAGTAGAAAACAGTCCTCCACAAATGGATACAATTTGTGACAAAATACTCCCTCTCCGCTAGGCTTGAATTAAGGGCTTCTTATAGCTATGTTTTTTTGTTTTTCCTCCCCCTCAGCTGGTGTTTTACCACTTGTCTGCTAGGGCTGGCTCTGGACCAAGATTCTAATACCCCAGCCTCCCGAGTAACTAGGATTAACTCTTAAAATGGTATACTCTTCCAATATGTTTAGTTAACTTACTGTATATATCAGAATCATCTGTTAATACCCATACTTTGAAGTGACCATCTTTGCTAGCTGTAACCAAGGTTATAGGCTTTTCAGATTTTTCTGCATTAGAGAAACAGAGAGCTGTAATGTGGTCATCGTGTGGCATGGCAATCTTTGTGTTAAGAATAAACCTAGTAGGAAGGAAAACAACACATTTATTTGTACATTGGGATAATACGATATTCTATCATATGAGTGTTCTAAAAAAATGTTCCCAGTCATTTTTGTGTTTGTTTTCAAATTGCAGCTTATGGTTTAAAATAATGTCTTTAAATGGTAACTTTTCTGTCCAACATTGTAATAATATATAATAAATTAATATATATAATATAATTTTTAATATATTATATATATTATATAATATATATTACATATATATTAAAAAATAAAAGTGTCCTTATTAAGAACTAACACAGAATGTTGCTGAAATTGGTTTGGGAAAGATCTGGTCGAGGTTTATTGTATACATATAGGGACATGAATATGACGCAGTTTATTTGCATGTATGTAAAGCATAATGAAACCTGCTGAAATGGTTTGAAGAGTGAGTGGGATGGGGGAGAATGATACAAAGAGTGAGATTGATGGAGATATCTTGTATACATATACACATGTGGAAATAATAACAATGAAACTCTTTTCTATAACTTCTGTATGCTAATAAAAATATGTAGGAAAAAAGTTCCATTAGAGAAATAACTCCCTTAAATCCTAAGTCTACCAAGATGAAAGATCTTAAAGAGTACTACAGCCACAAAGTGGAAACTTAAATTTGTACTCTGAGATGAAGTGGCTGTGCATGTAACATTACCCTTGTGTTTTCTTATTGAAGACCCACAGCTTCATCTGCAATTCTGGTTCAGTTTCCTTCTTTTCTTGTCTCTCCTCCACGGTTGCAAGCCATTTGCCAAAGCAACCAAAGGCAGCCTTTGTTAGTTCAATTTGGATCAGATCATCATCGTTGATATATTCTTGCTGTATAATATCTAACTGATGGGGTTAAAAAGAGAATAAAACAATCCTTATTTAATTAAGTCCATTTGTTAAAGCATTTCAAAAACTACTAACTATAGTAACTTCTAGAATCTACGTTAACAGATTCTTTTATATACAGTCTCATTAGCTCTTTGCCTGAGATGGCATGGAACCATGATCCAGAATATCTAGAAATGAACTACTGTGACACTAAAAGTTAACTGCCATATATTAATGTTCAAGTAAAATAGGTAAACAATATTATGTGAGAAACTACCAAATAAATGATCTGATCACAGGGATAACTGTAAAGAACTTCCATTGGTCTGAAGGTTAGTTAATAGAGGAAAATCTTACATTGTATAACTGCTTATCCCTCTGGAGACAATAAAACTGCAGATGACCAGGCTTTCCATTCAAAACTAAAGCTTTAGTTCTTGGGTCAATTATCAAACCGGTAAAAATATTCCTATCTGTAAAAGAGTCAACAAACAATAGCTGAAACAGATAAACATTTACTCTAAAACATATTCTAAATGTTCTGGCTTCTCCAATACCTTTCACTAGGCCTTGAATCACTGCAGATGCATCAAGGTTTCGGTGAATAACTGTTATCTCTAAGGGGGAAAAAATTAAACATATGTCAGAACTTGTCACTTTGAAATATGACCAATAAAATCAATTAAATCAGGACTAGATTTTGAGATTTAGTTAAAATATCAGGGGTAAGAATAGTAGCTTTTTTGTCATAGCCTTTATTAAGATTTAATAAGTTGTGCCTATGAATACACTGAGTGTTCAGAAACTACATATATCCATAATCAAGTTTACATAAAAAAGACAATTTGAATTAAGTCAAACTACTAATGATGGTTCAGTTACCTTTCTTTTTGAAGGCAAAGGAAAGCAATGGGGCCTTGATGTAGGCTGAGAAGTAACAGGATGGCCAATGTTTTTTGCAGAAATACCAAGCCTGCCTCTATATCTATCAGAATCCACAGGATTTCGACTATTGCACTGAGATAATGCCAAAAGAGAATCTCAAGATATTGTTTAAAAAGTTATTATATTTAGAAAAATACCTTAAATCATCCCACTTTAGAAGACTTTGTAAATGTAAGTGGTACACCAATAACTAAACACGGCCTTTTATTTTCATTAATTATCTTACACTGTTCTTAGTGTTGGCTCTTAATATTTTCATTGTGATAGATGCTGGCTGGTTTATGGCACTGTACAAATTACCTTTCCTCATAGTAAGAATTTAGACCTGTCAGGTGCTGGTGGCTCATGCCTGTAATAATAGCTACTCAGGAGGCTGAACTGAGGATCAGGGTTCAAAGCCAGCTGGGATTGACAGGTCCCCAGGAGACTCTTATCTCCAATTAAACACCAGAAAATTGGAAGCGGGCTGTGGCTCAAAGTGATAAAGAGTGCTAGCCTTGAGTAAAAGAGCTCAGGGACAGCACCCAGACCCCAAGTTCAAGCCCCTTGACCAACAACAAAAACAAAAGAAAAAAGCAATTTAGACTTACTATTATCAGAATGAGAAGTGCAGAACAAATCTCCTGCAGGTGAGACAGAGATATGCTCAATAGTAGCTCCTAAGCGGGGGAGAAACTCCTTGTTCTTCTCTGTTGCATCTCGCCACTCTACAAGTACACACTCACGGCCACCACTCAGCAAACTGGTGCCTTGATACACATCAAAAAATTTAAAGGAGTGTTTTTGGAGGAAAAAAACAAAAACAAAACAAAACAAAAAAACAGGATAACATCTCCATTTTTTTTCTGTCATAGACGTAAATTCATTGCTAATATACAAGTATTTTTATACCATACTTAACTGAAATTTTGTTTGTGTACTGTCGCCAATTTAACCATATAAATGTATAGGCTACAATGTGATGTTCTCATATGTGTATGTAAATATGGTCGAAATCATTTTCCATGACCTAGATCTCTAGTGGTCTTAAAAACTGTTGCTATCAACTGGTTTTTCCTTGTAGATGGCATAACAATATGGACATGTTTTTGATGTTTCAAGAAAGTAAGATGCATTTCTGTGCAATTTGTGTGAACTGACTGCATCTTTTGATTCACTCTTGTCACCAAAGCAACTTGTTTGCATGATGTCTGGATATAACTATGCTGCACTCATAAGATTTCTGTTTTTTCTCTACTTATGAAGCTTTACATCAGTAGAACTTGGCTCATATTATACAGTACTTAATGTATCTTGGTAATCTTGCTAGAAGTTTTTATGTATGCTTTCTCACATAATACCCCCAAGAACTCCTGTACCCAACTTTCTTCCTTTTGTTTTCCTTTTTCTCTTGTGCTAGTATTGGACAACTGTTTAGAATATGTAATGATCAAATCATAGTAATTAACAATACTTAAAGTTTTCTTTGTAATGAAATACTCAGAATTATCTCTCCTAAATACAGTATGTGCTATAGTGATCCTATAATTTAACAGAGGAAATAATCAACATAAAAACATTTGTAAATAGGGCTGGGAAGGTGGCTCAGTGGTAGAGCGCTTGCCTTGCATGCCTGAGGCCCTGGGTTCGATTCCTCAGCACCACATAAGCAGAAAAAGCCGGAAGTGGTGCTATGGCTCAAGTGGTAGAGCGCTAGCCTTGGGCTGAAGAGCTGAGGGACAGCGCCCAGGCCCAGAGGTCAAGCCCCCACAACCGGAAGAAAAAAAATTTGTAAATAGCACAACTGATAAGGATTAATATCTAGGATATATAAAAAGCTCAATAGCAAAAACAGAACAAAAAAACTAAAGCAAAGCCAAAGTCAAAACAAAAAAACCAAAACCAAACAAAATCTAAACAAATTGTATGTAAAAAATAAAAATAAAGCAAAATCAAAACCAACCTGACAGATATGTCCCAAAAGAAGATACACAAATGGCAAACACATATAAAAAGAAAATACCATTAAACATGAAATGAAAACTAAAAACACAATCTGATAGTTCCTACTCCAGTTAAGACTGGCTAGATTATTACCAAAAAAGCAAGAAATACATGATGGAGAAAGGGAAAATTTTATAGCCATAACAGAAAACATTTACATAGACTTATCTTTTTTAAAAAACTAATAGTTTATATAAATCTTTATGGTTGTAAGACTTTATCATAAACATACTTTGGAAGTTTTATGAACTTTGAAACCTAAAGTATAAAGTATTGGGGTGAAAAAGATAAAGTATTGGGCTAAGCAAAGACTAAAATGCATGGACCATAAACAAGTCATTTCAATTTGTGTGGCCCATGCAACTTTAAATCTCTCAAATTATAAATACCATGAATTAAAACACCTAACTCATATATTTCAAAAGTTCATTTTAGGCTGGGCGGCGGAGGCTCATGCCTGTAATCCTAGCTACTCAGGAGGCTAAGATCTGAGGATTGCAGTTCAAAGCCAGGCTGGGCAGGAAAGTCCGTGAGACCCTTATCTCCAAATAAACCACTCAATACCAGAAGTGGAGCTGTGGCTCAAGTAGAGTGCTCACCTAGAGCTGAAGAGCTGAGGGATAATGCCTAGGTGCAGAGTTTAGAGTTCAAGCCCCATGACCAAAAAAGAGTTCATTTTAATTAGTTAGCCTGCACTTACCTGTCACTGAAAAAGCCAAATCCATAACCATATCATGGTGCCAATGTAAACATGTGTACATATATTTCTTCTCATCATCAAAATTCCTCCTATTGGAGAAAAATAAAATTCTTAATTTGATCCTAGGTGTGAATTAGGAAAAAAGCTAAATGTAACTAAATCCTAACACCTAGTTTTTTGGTCTTAATGGCAAAAATACATTTTTATTTCTAACCAATCACTTCTACAAACAATACGGCATTTCTGCTACCTACTACTAGGGTATACCTAGTGTACTCCAGTATTGTTACTCTTTCCCTTTGAGATAAAGCTCAAAGAAAAGTTCTCTTCAATAAAATAGTAATAGGTTACACAGAAATTTTCATTCTCACTGTAAGCTAGTAGTATGCATGAAATCAAGAAGATGATAATAAAAGAAATGGAGGATGCTGCAACATCTAACATATTATCAGCAATAGCTTTTCAGTATGCCCTTTCCCCTGGACCCAGAGATGGTCTTGTGTGAAATACTATAAAAATGGACACTGTGGGTTAACTGACCAAAGGCGAATTTTGCCGTCCATATGACCAGATGCGATGCAGTCTTCCTTTGGGTGGCATGCTACACATGTAAACTCATTCTTAGCATGCTTCTTATTTTTTGATGATGATAAAGTAAATCTAGAAGAAAAAAATTTCCCTTGATTATTAATGTGTCTTAAGAATAATAAGGTAAGTTTAGAAGTCTATACCTTATCAAACAAAATTAGCTGCCAGATTCAATCCATTTTGTTGTTCCCCTTCCATTTCCTAATTCAGATAAGCACAGGGTACCAAATTCAAATACAGTGACAACAGTGGATAAACCATAGGAAAAAGAAAAGAAAAGGTTCCTCAAAAGACTCCACATAGAGCTTCCCTATGACCCAGCAATCCCACTTTGGGGCATTTACCCAAATGATCACAAACAAGACCATACTAAAGCTACCAGCACAACTATGTTTACTGCAGCATTATTTACCATAGCTAAGATATGGAACCAACCCAGATGCCCCTCAGTAGATGAATGGATCAAGAAAATGTGGTATATATACACAGTGGAATTCTATGTCTCCATCAGAAAGAGTGACATTGCCCCATTTGTTAGGAAATGGAAAGACTTGGAAAGAATTATATTAAGTGAAGTAAGCCAGGCCCAAAGAAACACAGGTCCCATGGTTTCCCTTATTTGTAATAACTAGTATATGTCTGAGTCAAGCAGAAAAGGTCAGATAAGTTGATGTTAGGGAAATGAACCCCAAGATATGTATTCAAATGTTTCTTCTAATATGAAACTATTAACAACTATGAATTATAGATGAGGATGAAATAAAATTATAGCAAGCTCTTGAATACGAAAAAAAGCTATAGAAAAGGAGTGTTTACCTTGACGTTGCTTTCTTTTTGAAAAAATAAACAGACAAATAAAAGTCCCGTACTGCAGCAACATATTCTCCCTGGTGTTTTAAAGACAACATTTGTAAGAGTCAATGTTCTTTTTTTTTTCTTTTTTAATTTTATTTTATTTGTGAACATACTGTACAGAGGAGTTACAATTACATGGGCAGGATAATGCGTACATTTCTTACCAAGCATTGCAGCCTCCTCCTTTGTTTACCCTTCACATCCCTTCCCAGCCTCCCCCCACCCCAAGAGTCAACGTTCTTTAAAAGACTGCATTAATATAAAATATACTTTCCTCTAGCCACAGAATGAATAAGACTTTTCAATTAAGACAAACTTAATTACTAAATCCTAAAACTAGATTTACTAGTTTTAAGTATAATGATTAAATTTTGTTTTCATGAAGGCATGCATACAATAAAATCACCACCACAATCTAGAATACTCCCTTCCCTACAGATGTTCCCTTGTTCTTCTTTAGTCATTGCTCAGTGTCCTCCCCATCAATATTCATTTCTATCATGACACCTCTTTTCTTCCCTGTTTAGGACTCTCTGGCTCAGTATCTTTTTTTAAGTTCATCCATACTCTTCTATGTATTGTTAATTCCCTTACACAGTTCAGTAACATTTCACAGGAAACACATCTCACAATTTTTTTTTTTTAACAGTTGATATTTGGGTTACTTATACTTTGGAGCTATTATGAATAGTTATTGCTGCTCTCATCATTTTGTGGCCATGTTTTCATTTATCTGAGATTGGAATGGTTTGGGTAGAAGTATTTAATTTTGACAATACTTAACAATTTCAGTGGACATGTAATGTTTTGATGTTATTAATATAATTGATAGTTAAAAATATAGAAGGATATTAGTAATGTTCACAGTATTTTCTTTAGCTAACATAAGCTAATAAAAACAAATATTTTCTCTACTTGGAGAAATTAATCCTTTTCAAAATGAGTAATGCTACGAAAATCTAATGATAGAGTATGGATTCCAACGAAAGTGATACTTAAAAGTCTTTGGATGGCATTTAACTTTAAAATAATACATTATTAAGAATTATAAGAATTACCACTACACAGTATCTGTACGAAACATTTCAGTATACACTCATGCCTTTATGCTGAAGTTGAAAAAGAAAGATAACATTTTTAATCCTAAATTCTTTTGGTAAAAGTTATTTTATGTATGTTAAAAGTTTAAAAAAAGAATCCCTAATTGTTTTCACTAGAGAGATTATTATATCCAAATTTTCTATACAGGCGTATAAACTATAGATAAAAAGGCCATATTTACTTTTTTTTTGGTTGGTCATGAGGCCTGAACTTTAGACCTGGATGCTGTCCCTCAGCTCTTCAGCTCAAAGCTACTGCTCTACCACTTGAGTCACAGTGCCACTTTTCTGCTTATGTGGTGCTAAGGAATTGAACCCAGGGCCTCATGCATGCAAGGCAAACACTCTACCACTGAGCCACCTTCCCAGCCCCTGGCCACATTTTCTTAAAACACACAGTGTAAAAGCAAACAATTTAAATAGCTCTTTAGAGCGTTTACAGGGCAATAGTTAACACTCTACAAAGTCTTAAAAAATTCATTCCATAAATACATGTTAAGTAATGAAAGAGACTCCTTTATTAACAAAACTACAGTAATTCAAGGCAATTTAAAAATCACTATAAAAAATAAAAATTATGGATAAAATTAAAAAACTAGTAAAACAAATTTACCTCGTTTCCAAAGGCAATGCACTTAGGTGACTGGTTTATGTAATCCAAAACAAAAGACAACTCCTTAGCTTCTACTTCCTGACTTGTCGATTTGGGCAGTTTCACTGAGACCAGCTGAAATACATCTAGCCAAAGGAAGCCATATTACTTTAAAACTTCTCTAAAGAAAGTGAACATGTACATTCATTGATATGAATCTATTATTCAGTACTAGAAAGCCAAGATTTTACATTAAAGTCCATTCAATGCTAACACTTAAAATGTACCTTACTTGAATATATGTTTTAGATGAAAGTCTAGTCCTACTATTTTATACACACATATGCCCTTTATTTGTAGAAAGAAAAATTTTTGTCTTATACTGGTGCATCCTACACTGAGAAGTATCAAATTGAGGCTTAACATAAAGATGAACTATAAATAAACAATACATGAAGATGAACTATAAGTAATCAATTAAACCACCAGAAGCAATGAACATTCTAAAGTTTTCAGAAATACTATGGTCTTGCTGCAACTTCATAGGTAAGTCTACTTTCCTCTAATGTGGACATACTCAGGTTTCTGATTTCTTATAACTTTCCCTTAGAATAAAAATCTTAATAGCCTAAAGCAGTAAAATAGGCTTGCCAAAACAGCTATACAACTTATTCTTATTCTTCTAGAGACTCTCCATGAACATTAATTTAATATGTAGTCCTTCAACACTAATTCCATCCCCCTTATTTTTTGAAATATTTGTTATTGTATTGCATTATATGATCATTGCAGTCAGTTTGCTTTTGGAACTTACTGTTTTGTTCTATTCAACTTAAAGTATCTGAGCACATGGTCGATGCTCAATTAGCTGTTGAATGACTATAGTATATATACAGATAAGAAAGAAAACTAAAAAGATCACATGTAAATAAAAGATTAATTTTTTTAAATATCAGAATAGCATGTTCCAATATGACATACAATTTTCTGACAGAGACTCTGGATTGGGGCTTGAAACACAGAAAGAACAGTGATACAGTAAGCAAACCAGCTAACACAGGATATTTACAAGCCCAATTCACATTTCTGTGTAACATATATCCAAGATTTTAATATGCTAAGTGCCCATAATATGCCAGTTCTGCAGTTAACAGTGGATCCTATTGTGAGTAGAATTTTCAGTTAACTAAAAAGGCTAATGACCAAGGTCTTTCCTTTAATATCAGTAGGGGTTTTTGTTTGTTTGTGTTACTTTCTTTGCATATGAGACCAACTAAGAGCATTTTAAACAAACAATTAGGTCCTACCATAGAGAATCTTAAGGGGAGGCCATGGCTGTTTCTCATGTGCAACTCTGGTTAACAATGACTGGTTTTATAGGTACGAATAACAACTTTTTCTACTAGCAACTATCCTTTCAATATAGGAATCATAAAAAGAACCCAAGAAGATATCAAATATTAATGATAATCACAATCACGCTACCTCCCAGATATAATGAGTATTACTGTGAGATTAGCAATGCAAATTCTCAGTATCCACACAGACTGAAATAGAGAGTCCATGTATAAGACATAGAAAACAAAACTTCAACATGGAAAAACAGTATATTTGAGGTTACACATTTGGGAAGGCAATCTAATTATTTTGTGGTGCAGCCCTGGCTGGCCTCAAACAAACACTCCTCCTGTACAGCCCAGGTTGGCCTGAACACACAATCCTCCTGGCTCCTGCCTTCCGAGTGCAGGCTTTACAAGCATGTGCCCCTACATTTGTTCAGAACATCTTTTTGAATGTTCTTTAGAAGGACCTTTTGATACACATAAGACAACTAACCTTATTATTCCATTTCTTTCTATCTATATTCTTGACATTATCACTTATTATCAGGAATGGCAATAAATGACCTTTAACAAAAGAATATTTAGCCTTCAGAGATTTTTGTTTTCCTGCTGCTAAGGACTGGATCCAGAGCCTTGAATATGCTAGGCAAGTGCTCTTGCACTGACCTACATAACCAGTCCTTGTATTTTTTTTTTCTTTGAGACAGAGTTTTACTATGTAACTTGCAGTGTAGCTCAGGAAGCTTTCAAATTGTAATTGTGAAGCTCCTGTCTCATCCTTTCCAGTGCTCAGTGTAGGCCTACTGCTTCACTCACAACTCTGACTACTTTAAAATGACCTTTTAAATCTCCAAAAGAAATTATGTTTAGCTCCTTTTGGACTTTTACTATTCACAGGTTACTTAAAAGCCTATGATACAGAACTTACAAATGTTTCAGCAAAATATGTAAAGCAAACAAAAATGTAGTACAAAAGAGTCACTTAGTTAAATAAACCATGAATCAGTCTGGGAGACTGTCCAGTAAACATTTTCAAGATGCTTTGTACTTTTAATTCTGAAGACAATCACAACTATATTTTTATGGTGGATACCACAGAGCACAATAGCTTACTTCAATTCTGGAATTAGAAAGTTTCTTTGGACATTATCTTTCTTGTCAAAATTCTATTGTATCACATTCTCTTATTAAAAAGTTATTTGTAACCACTGAAGTGCTCTGATACATGGAAGATCTAATGAATAATGCTCCAGTGATAGTAAAACTGATCAATCTGGTCATATTATTAGTTCTTAATATGAACCTATTTTCTATACCATTTGACATAATGATTCTAATCCAATAAATGGGCATTCTGTAAAGGATAGTGATGCTTAACAATTACAAGATTTAAGCTGGGCATGGTAGTTCATGGTTTGTGCCTGTAATCCTAGCAACTCAGGAGGCTGAGACTGGAGGACTGAGGTTCAAAGTCAACCAAGGCAGAAAACTTCAAGACTCTCAACTAATGAGAAAAAAGTCAGACAGAGATCTGATCTGTTACTTAAGTAGTAGAGTACAGCCATGAGCAAGAAAACAGAGTAAGAACTTTCTTGGTGGTTTTTTAAAACAGCTTGAAAATTTGAGTTAGGTTGAATATCACAACTATATATGAAATTAATTATTCTTTTTATATATTGAAAACTGACAGAAAGTATCCTCAAATAAATGTGAAAATGGTGAAAGCAATTTAAATTCAACTCTGGAAAGTTTGAAAATAAACCCAAAATGTTGAATTCTGACCGGCTGTAAAATGTAAAGAGACACTTCATAACATATAAAAACAAAGTAAATGTATTATACCATACCTGACTCTTCTTCATTTATTATAGTAAAGACAGAATCCTCAGCTTGGGCAAGAGAGAAGAGGGAATGAAGCTTATGCCCAACAATGAAAGTCTAGAAGACAAAACCAACAAAAACCACACCATATTATTATCTATTTCTGTCAGTAGAGCTTTAACTCACACAGGGTGGGGCTATTTTACAGCTTTGCTTACTGCTGAATTCTCATGCAGGACCTGGCATAAAGGGGACAATCAATACATGTTTACTGAATTTTTATAATTTTGGAACATACAGATATACCTGACTTTTAAATAGCTATATAGTATAACAAGAGAAATGTGCTATAACTTTAAGTGACATCAAGGTTGTAGCTAATGTTTTTTTAACCATATGCAATGTTTAAAGTACTACAAATATAAACCATTATCTCAATAATAAGACTCTTATAGGTCAGTGTTGGAAAAATCTATTTCTTCATCTGCAGTTTTACCCTCAATATAATATCCATTTTTCTGCATTTTACCTATCACTGTTTTTTTCCCCTGCACCAATGTGCATGCATTCTGGCTAAACTGACAGGGAAAAAAGTGCTGTTGCTTCAGACATGCTGGGCGTATCTACCACTGAATTATATCGCCAGTACCTCTGCCCAGAGTTTATAAATGCCTATTAGTTTTTCTTCAATGGATTTTTAATTTTGGGGGGGGGGTGATATTACAGAAAACACCTTTGGTATTTTTTACTTGTCTTTTTTGTTAAATAATTTATGCAGTAAAATTTATGCATTATGATATATGAACTTTATATAGTTTGTTCAGGAAAAAGGAGGTCTTGCAGAAGAACATGTTGTCTGTCATATATCAGGAAAACTGAAGATTAATCCACATACCTTTATCAAAATGCCATCTAGATAGTCCCACAGTTTAATTGTGCCATCAAAGGAACAAGAATATAGCTAAAGGGTTAAAGAAGAAAAGATTAAAAATAGGGTTCTACTAAGAGATGAACAATTAACTGCTAATGCAGAAGCAATCTGTTTATTAATTCATAGACTTTATACAGGTTAATTATAATTTCTAAATTCTGAAAATCTAAAATAGTACTTAAAAACGTTTAAGACTTTAGAGCATTTTGAACTTCAGTTTTTCAGATTAGGGATGCTCAGCCAGTAGAATATTTTTTTTTTTTAACCAGCTGTGGGGCTTGAACTCAGGGTCTGAGAACTGTCTCCTGAGCTGTTTTGCTCAAGGCTAGTGCTCTATAACTTGAGCCACAGCTCCACTTACAGTCTTTGGTGGTTAATTGGAAATAAAAGTCTCATGGACTTTCCTACCTAGGCTAGCTTTGAACTGAAATAGTCAGATCTCAGCCTTCTGAGTGGGTAGTAGCCAGGGCCTGAGCCACCAGAGCTCAGTAGCAGAACAAATATTCTAAGTTGTTCTGAAACTCCAAAATTTGAAACACTTTGGTCCCAATTATTTGGGACCAAATTATGTGTACTGCTTTTTCAAATCAGATAATCTTCTGGAGGAAATAATTCCATCAAACTGAAGTTTTAACTAAACTGAAGGGGAAATATCAAACATCTTATCTTAGAGCTATGAAAAGCAGTAAAAATGTGTTTCTATTTCTCAGAGTTCAGTTCCTTTTCATTAGCTACATTGCTTTCATCTTACATACACATTTAAGTGCTTCTCAAATTATCAGAAAACATCTTATGTTGCTCAATGGTAGAGTGCTTGTCTCACATGCATGAGGCCCTGGGTTCGATTCCTCAGCACCACATAAGCAGAAAAAGCCGGTAGTGGCACTGTGGCTCAAGTGGTAGAGCACTCACCTTGGGCTGAAGAGGGACAATGCCCAGACCCAGAGTTCAAGCCCCATGACCGACAAAAAAAAAGAATTCCAATCCATCAAAAGGAGCAATATTTTCGTAGAATGAAATAGGAAGTGTTATGCACATGTAGGCTGTGCAAACAGTATTAACTTTCAAGTCATTAAATGTCTGTATTCATTGTAGGCTAGTAACCAATAATTTCGGACATCAGTCTGTGGACCAGACGGTGGTAGTGACAGCCCTTAGTAACAACTGAGTTTATTTTTGTCCCAAGTGGGCTTAGTTTCACATAAGTTATATTAGACGCTTTTTTGTTGCTCTGTGAAAATATTTTGTTTGTAAGGTTTATAAAGAAAAATTTTTTTTAAAAAACTAAGTGGCAATTTTAGGATTTATACCAATATGGAAATTCAAAATATAGAAATAAGAAGGTATTTGGAGTATTATCTATTAAGTAAATATTATCTATTAAGTAAAAGAATTATATTAAGTATAGATGGCATGGTCACTACATATACGATTCAAAAGCATGAAGTGGTACAATATACAAGCCAAACATACATTCATTGTCCAATAGTTAACATGGAAATATTGTGACTCCTAAATCCCCAGATCTCTGCCCTTTCACTTCAACAAACCCTGTCTGATTTTATTAATGTCCAGTCACCTGAAATAGAACTTTTATGCAATGAGTATATATATATATATATATATATGTATATATATATATATTTGGTCTGGCTATAAAACTTACTAAAGCGTACTTTAACAAGTTTCAGTTTTAACCAAAATATATTTTTTACTTTTGGCCCTTAAAAACATTAGTTTTTAATTCGTTTAAAGATGAGGAAGAATGATAGGAGTGACACTCATCAAGTTAAGCTGTATTTATAAACTGACTTCTTGAACTGAAACTTTTTGGTACAATAACTTTAAAAAAGATCCAAAAGCTACACATGGTAACAAATCTTGTCAAATCATCAGAAGACAGAATAAAAAGTATAACTAGTCCCAGTAAGAAAGCTATTTATGATTTTTAAAAGTAGCTCACTTAAGTGTGGAAAGGATTGATCAGTGTTGCTTTATCCTTTATTTCTTTTGTGATTATGTAGCAAAAGACAATGCAAATCCATTTTACAGCAGGAATAAATTTTAAGTTGGTTGTGACTAATCTTTAAAACAATAGCAATACCAAAATGCCATTGAAATAAATTTATAGTAGTTTTGCTGAAATTTACAAATACATCTTTGGTATATTCCCAATACCAGTGGTGTAAGATGATTTGAGAAAAATCTATAATCAAGAAATTCATTTCACTATGTTTAAATTTCAGAACTTCAGAAACTCATACAGCCAAGAATATACACTTCAAATAACACCAGTAAGCATCTTGTGGAGCAAATGTTTCTCAGAATACACAACGGGCATGTAGTTCTAGCTCCTGACCTTACTTCTATAATTAGTAAAAACTAAAAATGACCTTAAATTAGAAAATTAACAGATTTCTTCCTGATCATAACCAGCAAAATTTCCTAGAGAAAGTTCCCCAGACTTCTGTCAACACAAGCTGATGTTAAAATAACCAAATGTAAAGTGTTTGGCACCTGAAGATGGTTGTTGGGGTTGAGTTGGATTCCAGTTACCAGATTTCTATGCCCATGTAGTATGTGTACACACTCTTCTGTAACTGTGCTATACACTTTAATAAAGTCCCCAGAGACACAGAAAATATACCTGGGAAAAAAGAAAAGGGAAAAACAAAGACTTTCACATACTTTTTGAGGAGTATAATCCTTTTATGGACCATTACAGAAATAACCACAGACGATATTTCCTTCAAAGTAGTTAATACTGTACATTTTAACTTGAATACTGCTTAAGTTTATGGGGGGGGGGAACATCTAAGATTGAGTTATTCCTTAACTCAGAAGAGAGTTCTGAGGCCAATGCTGCATCTTTTGCCTGTCTGTAGAAAAAGGCTATACAGAATTATTCTGAAAGCAAAATCTAACCAAGCTTCCTGGACAGATCAGTAAATGGATGCAGTTTTTCATTCCCAATTATTTTTATTCAATGGTCCTGCTAACAGTAATATGTTCTCATGATCCCCAGGGTTTTTATGGCTCACCGTGGACACCAACTGACAAATGATAAGTTAAAGGCTCCGTTTAAATAGACGAGGTCCAGGCTCTCTTGGGTAACAGTAAAAAAAACTTCCTTTCTTCCTGATTCTTAAGATGTTAACAAAGCCTCCTTCACTTCCAAAAATCGATTCAATGTATGTATGTGTGTGCATTCGACAACTTCCATTACACACACATTCAACAACTGTCTTGGACCAATAGGCCAACAAGCATAAAATACAATCTACTGTCCTAAGACAGAAAAAAGAAGTTTTTTTTTTACAAGGTATCTATCTTAAGTGTTTTGAAAACCCATTTTTCATTATTTCCATTATAGGAGCTACAATGTAGCAATAGTGGTGACATCTGACCTACGCTGGGTCATTAAACATGCCAGACATCCTAAGAGCTTTACATACATGGAGCCATGTAATCCTCCCAAGAGTAATCTGTGAAACACAAAAGAAAAAAACAGGAGGAGGGGTACCAATATATATCTGTGCCTGTGTGTCTGAAGGAAGAGGGTTCAGTAACCTTTTGCGACACAGAAGACAGGACACTCTTTGGGGCGGGGTGGTCCAGACCTGGACTTGGATCTGGATCACTGTCCAGCCATCCCAGATCCGAAGTGATGCTAGACACGTGGGCCCGCCTCGGGCCCTCTAAATCGAATAGGAGGCTCACAGTCTGGGGATGCAGCGGTGCGCAACCGCAGCGTGCGTGACCAGAAGGTCTCTCCCCTCCGCGCGCAGCGGATGCTTCAGCACCCTGGGGTCCCCAGCACGCGCGACCTCCGCCGCTGCAGAGCTCCGAGGAGTCCGGGGAGCGCCTGACAGCCCCGAGGCCCAGGCCCCCACTGCCTCCCGCCCTCGCCCCGGCGCCCTCATACTTAGAATCCGCCGAGAACACAGCTCTCCTGAAGTTCAACTCGCTTCCGCCACAGTGAACCACGCGGATGCTCTCCTGCTCCACCATCTTCGCGCACACGCAGTGGCTTCCGACGGCGAGCTCCGCCCCTGACGGCTCACCCGGGCCGAGGGCGGGGCGTTCTTCCCGGCCGGCCCGCCGCCGGCCCCTCTAGGACGGAGACTCGATGGTGGGCTGGAACTCTATGGTTGGGCCCAGCGCTCGCGCGGCCATCTTTTATTTGGGCAACGTCGAACCAAAACATTTTTATTTCTTAAGAGTGAAAGCAAAGCAAGCAGGCCATTGAGTCCCATGAAGAAACTTCCCTCAGCCGTCGTCAAAGTCGGCCCCTGGGTTCGGCCGGAAGGCAATGGTGTCACGTGACTTTCCGCCCCGCCCCCGAGATTCTTGCCGTGAGATATGACGTAAGCACGCCGCGCCCGTTAGGTCCGTGGTCGCCGTGTTGCGTTCTACGGTAGGGCGGTAGCGCTCACTTTTCGTAGAGCTTTTGCGCCTCTTACTCATCAGCCGTCGCGCTAATATCCCAAACACTTGCCCAGGATCCCCACAGAAACTCCGTGGACGGGGGTAGCTTGTTGTTGTTGTTAAGTGGGGTTCCCAAACCGGGCGCTGGTGACTCACGCCTGGACTCCTAGCTCCCGGTTCGAAGCCAGCCCGGGCAGCAAAGTCTGAGAGACTTACCTCCAAGTAACCGTCAGGAAACCTGAAATGGCGCTGTGGCTCAAAGTGCTAGAGCACTAGCCTTGAGCAAAAGAGCTCAGGGAGAGCACCCAGGCCTTGAGTTCGAGCTCCAGGACCGGCAGAAGAAGAAAAGGAAAGAAAAGAAAGTGGTTCCTACTCCAGGTTTCTTGGTCTGACAGCCTACAATTGTGCCCCAACTCCCGCTACATAGGTTTCTCAAGGAATTTTTTTTTTTTTGGTTGGTATATACTTGGGTTTTTGCTTCGTCACATTAGTGGAATGTGACAAAGCCCTGAACTCAGTATGTAGGTTCCTCTTTTACCAGTCTAAGTTTTCATGTTAGACATGTATCACTTTCGTTTTCCCTGTATGTAAGAGGATGCTTATTTTTAGTCATCTCTAATATTTAATACCTGTGCTGGCTCTGAGCCACCACTAAGGAGAAAGAGCCCTTGCTGGCTTAATCGAAACAGATGCCTTGTACGTTTCACAATTTGAGGTCACAAAATGTGTTCACTCATGGGAAAATAGTATATTTTCAAAGGTAAAGGCATATCTTTAAGGAGGATAAGTGGAGGAAAAGGCTTAGTTATGGAGGAATTGTGGATTTGAATAAGTCTGAAGTGAATTCAAAAGAGAATGGATGGAGATAAACTGGGTATTGAAAATGTATATAACTCTTGAGTTTTTCTGAAAGGAAAGAACTGTCTGAAGTTTGAAGTGGAGATATATTTAAGACAGATTTCTTTTTTTTTTCTTTGTCAGCCCTGAAATTTGAACTTGGGGCCTGAGCACTGTCCCTGAGTCTCTTTGTGCTCAAGGCTAGCGTGGTATTACTTGAGCCACAGTGCCACTTCAGGCTTTTTCTGAGTAGTTTATTGGAGATAAGAGAGTCTCACAGACTTTCCTGCCTGGCTTTGAACCACAATCCTCAGATCTCAGCCTCCCAAGTAGTTAGGATTGCATGTGTGAACCTTCAGTTTCCTGCTGCTTTTTCTTTTAAGTTGGAAGAAATAGGTATGTATGCATGTGCTTGCATGCTGCTGAGAAAGACTCAAGAAAGAGAAAAGTAGAGAGGCAGTGGGATTAGAGAAGTCCTTAAGTAGGTAACAAAGTAGAATTATTGGGCAGTATGACAAAATTCTTAAAAGCCACTAATGGAACATATTCTAATTTAAAACATTTAAAAGGATTTAAAAAAATTTAAAAGAGATAGGACACTCAGAATATCTAGGCTAAATAGGAGCAATGATCCAAATTATATAACAAAACTATCCCATTAGTGATTTCACTGTCACCACACTAATGCACAGGCCCTGGATGCAATGGCTTTATTGGACCATATTTTTAAATTAGTTTTACAAAGCAAAAGTAAGGTTTTATATAAAAAGAGGAAATCAAGTTTAGCAAAAAGTTGACGGGTAAAAAGCTGGATCAAGCTTAGTCTAGTGAGAAAGCTTTAGTGCAAGGAAGATCTGGAAGGCAGAAGATTAACATTTAACAAGATTAGATTAGCTCATGCAACAAAAAATACCAATCTCTGTTCTTCCCTTTAAGAATATCGGATTTTTTGCCTGGCGCCAGTGGCTCACACCTGTAATCCTAGCCACTCAGGAGGCTGAGAGCTGAGGATCCCAGTTCATAGCCAGCCCAGGCAGGAAAGACGTGAGACTCATCTCCAATAAACCACTAGAAAACTGGAAGTGGTGCTGTGGCTCAAGCAGTAGAGCACTTGCCTTGAGCTGAAGAGCGAAGGGACAGTGTCAAGGCCCAGAGCTCAAGCCCTACGACCGACCCCCCCAAAAAAAATATATATATATATAGCTAAAACCAACAAGTTTGTCTCAAACTATTACTGTTTTTATTTCATGAAGTCTAAGAAACATTACATCTGATAATGAAATATGTATTACAGGCAGTGTTATCCTGTAGTTGAGATATTCCTTTTTTAGGGAAAGTCCTAATGTAATTAAAATTTTTGGCCGTTTTAAATCAAATAAAAACTCTAAAAGTATAAAGGTTGAAGAACATATACCTTTTACAGTGTTACATAAAGTTATATTGTCTACAGTATATCTATAGATTACAGATTTTTGACTTTGAAATACATTCTATTGCCTTAGATTTTAAATTTGTAAAGCAGTGTCAGGAAGGTAGTTTAAAAAAGTAGGAATTCCATCACCCTCTCTCCCTCCCTCCCTCCCTCCTTCCCTCTTTCTCTCCCTCCCCTTCTTTTTGGCTTCCTGCCTTCTACTTTTTATGCTAATATAGTGGCAACATGATCAAGCATAGAAGGGAGGATTTGTGAAGATTCTGGCATAGGAACTACCTGTGAAGTGGGACCATTATTTGAAAGTGAATGTGGCTTACTTCTGAATGTTTATTACAACCTCAAGGGCAATCTCAAAATGTAAAGACTATAATGAATGTGTTAAGAGAGCAGAGGAAATGGAATAAACTTGGTTATTTTAAAGAGAGAAAGCAGAAAATGAGTGGAAAGGAGAACACAAAGGCAAAAAAAAATCAAAGTAGATTTTAACACTACCAGTCATCATTTAAACCTCATAAACCTCATCACCAATAGCTGGGGGTGGAGGGAGTCCCACAGTGGGTCATGAAAGAAAAACGAACTGTGTTTTGTCTATAAGAAACCTGCTTTATGCTGGGTGTAATGGTACATGCCTGCAGTACCAGCTACTCCAGGGGCAGAGATTGGGAGGATTGGGCATCCTCCCAGTGGAGCCTGGGAATCCATTCAATAAGTTTGGCATGGTATGTGTGTCTGTAATCCAGTTTACTGGGAAACATAGGTAAGAGAGTCATGGTCTGATGGAAAAATGCAAGACCCACAGTGAAAAATAACTGAAAGCAAAGCAACAAAAGAAACCCACTTTAAGGGCTGGGAAAGTGGCTCAGTAGTAGAGTGCTTGCCTTGCATGCATGAGGCCGTGGGTTCGATTCCTCCGTACCACATAAGCAGAAAAAGCCAGAAGTGATGCTGTGACTGAAGTGGTAGAGTGCTTGCCTTGAGCTGAAGAGCTGAGGGACAGTGCCCAGGCCCAGAGTTCAGGCCCCATGACCGACCAAAAAAAAAAAAAAAGAAAAGAAAGAAAGAAAGCCACTTTAAGTATAAAGATGAAAAGAAAGAGATATCTCATGCTATCACTAAAGACTAAGAAGCTATATTAATTTCAAACAATGCATGCTTCAAAGAAAAAAAAAACTAAAAAAGGGACTAACGATCCAAGAAGATATAACAATCCTTAATGTAAAAAAAAAACAAAAAACAATCCTTAATGTGTTTGTACCTAAGAACATGTCATCAAAACACATGATGTGAAACCTGATAGATCTGCAAGAAGGAGTAGATGATCTCCACTGTTACCAGTGGAGACTTCAAAGGAGTTCAGCCAGCCCAGTTTCAAGCAGAGGGGAAATAGACTCACCTCTCAATGGGAGGAACAATGTATCACTATTGTGGACATCACTGGAAAAATATAAACTTCCAGAGTCACATCTATCTGAAGGAAAATCTCTTTTCTACAAGTGTTTTCCCCCCATTAGAAACATCTTGGCCTTACCAGTTGGTGAGTTCATTGGTCCATTTTTTGACAACATACATTGAAGTTAGTTGTTCTCTATAATGAGGGCCTCCATGCTCAATTGAGGTGCCTGCTGCTCTTGTCACTGCTACTATAGATAGCTTCCTTCCATCCTGTGAAGGAACAGTCTTTTGTGCTTTATTTTCAGTCATTTCTAGGTTATTTAGGAGTCTGTAGTGGCAATATACTCTTTTCATTTTAATGTATAAATGTTTTTGTGGGAATGGGTAAGCATATGATTAGAAATGGCCTGAAATAGAATTGGGAATGAGTATATGGTTCTTCATTTTAAAGGTGTTATCAGGGCCAGAGAACTTTTCTTTCAGGGATATACATTCATGGATTCTGGCTGTTTTTGTTCCATAGCTCTTCTTTTCAATCCCTCCACAAGATAAGTGTCAACCCACTTGTGGAAGGGGATAACTCCACCCACCCAGTGAAATTTAGTAGTTGCATGGATTTGAAGTCTATCACAATATTCTGTCAATATTCTTGGTCAGGAGAATTGTGAGGTAGTTTCAGCACAGTGGAGAGGGGTTTGCCTAATTCTGCTAAACTGCCATAGTTCATTTATTTAGTTGGGAGAAACTTCACAAACTACATTGAAGAATACATTGTATGGAGTAAAGAATGAGGAGGGTAAATGAGGATGAGTATAGTTGAAATAGGTTTTTTGCATGTATGGAAATATAACAATGAGACCTATTAAATAATTTTAAGTAGGGGAGGTGGGTAGGGTTGATCAGGATACATTGTATACATATGTGGAAATGTCACAATGACTCCT